GGGCCAGCGTTCTACCACTTGAGCCACAGCACCACTTCTGATTTTTTGGTGGATAACTGGAGTTTAAGAGTCTCACAGACTTTCCTGTCCAGGCTGGCTTTGAACTGAGATTCTCAGATCTCAGCCTCGTGAGTAGCTAGGATTACAGGTGTGAGCCACTGCCACCTGGCTTTTATTTTTTAATTTTTTTTTTTTTTTGTCGGTCGTGGAGCTTGAACTCTGGGCGTGGGCGCTGTCCTTCAGCTCTTCAGCTCAAGGCGAGCACTCTACCACTTGAGCTACAGCGCCACTTCCAGTTTTCTGGTGGTTTATTGGAGATAGGAGTCTCACGGTCTCTCCTGCCCGGGCTGGCTTTGAACCGCGATCCTCAGATCTCAGCCTCCTGAGTAACTAGGATTACAGACGTGAGCCACCAGCGCCCGGCTTATTTTTTAATTTTTATTAATTTTTTTTTCTGAACTCAAAAGGTTATAAGAGGGGGCTATGACTTAATGTGTTCAAGAAGTGGAGCTGTAGCTAAAGCACTAGGAATATTAGCCTTGAGCCCAAAGCTAAAAAACAGGGCCCAGGCCCTGTATCCTGTGCTTTTTTTTTTTTTTTTTGTCACTCGTGAGGCTTGAACTCAGGGCCTAGATGTTCTCCTTGAATTCCTTTGCTCAAGGCTAGTACTCTTACCACTTTGAGCCACAGCACAATTTCTGGTTTTCTGGTGGTTAACTGGAGGTAAGAGTCTCATTGTTTTTCCTGCCCAGGGCTGAGTTTGGAGTGCAATCTTCAGATCTCAGCCTCCTCAGCAGCTAGGATTGCAGATATAAGCCACCAGCGCCCAGGTTTGGTTTGTTCTTCCACTCAGTTGATCCCTAACCATAACACACAAGAAACTGAGTCTGGGGAAACTTTCTCACAGCATGGTAGAGTGCAAATACATATGTACAGATCAGTGCACACTCTTTCCAGATTCCTTGGTTACCCAGTGAGAAATCTTATTTTATTTCTGATTTTGCTTTTCTAATTTCTTCTTCCCATTCTTTTTGTTGTTGTTGGTGGTCATGGAGCTTGAATTCTGGGCCTAAGCTCTTCAGCTCAAACCTAGAGCTCTACCACTAGAGCCACAGCGCCACTTCTGGTTTTCTGGTAGTTTTATTGAAGATAAGAGTTTCACAGCCTTTCTTGCCCTGGCTGGCTTTGAACCGTGATCCCCAGATCTCAGCCCCCTGAGTAGGTAGGATTACAGGTAGGAGCCACTGGCGCCTGGCTTCCCTTCCATTCTTGAAGTGAGGCTAGTGGTATCAAAGTCTATAGATGTCAGATAGGAAGAGGAAGGGAAAGGATAGAATGTATGTTTCCTCAAACCTGCTCTTCCCAGGGACCACAGGGCTCTGGTTAAAGTCCTCACTTTTCAGAAGGGCTAAGTTTGCAGGCAGGCAGTTTCTCTCTCTCTCTCTCGCTCTGTCCTTTCTGCCTCCCTCCCTCCCTTCCTTCCTTCCTTTCTTCCTTCCTTCTGTCCTTCCTTCCTTCCTCAGTCATGGGGCTTGAACTCGGCACAGGTCCAGTCTCTGAGCTCTTTTGCTCAAAGCTAGTGCTCTACATCTTTGAACCACAGCTCAGCTCTACTTCCAATTTTCTGGTGGTTATTTGGAGATAAGAGTCTCACAGGCTTTCCAGACCAGGCTAGCTTCAAACTGGAATCCTCAGATCTCAGCCTCCTGAGTAGCTAGGATTACAGGTGTGAGCTACAGGCACCCAGTGCTCCTCACTGTTCTGGCCAGACCTGTGCTTCACCCATGCTGCACTTGGACTCACCTTCCACACCCATAACTGACCACCAAGCTCCCATCTGAAAAGCATTCAGAGGGCCTGACAGCTTCTAACATCCTCAGTCCACCAGTGCCCAGGGTCTTTTGGCACCTGCCTGTGCCCTTCTCTTGTCTTGTCCACCCACACCTGATAGGTGACCTGGCAGGCATGTGTCCACACAGGGCATCCTTGCTCTTGGACTGGTAAAGCCACTGAGCCTCTCTCTGGAATGATCCCCCACTTTTCTCAGCTGGAGGCTTCTGACCTGCCTTGGATCTGCAGAGTGAGCATCTCAGGACAGCTCAGAGACCGCAGGTGCTCACATCTCTGTGCTCCTGGCTCCTAAGGAGCCATGTGCTTTCCCCTGCCGGCCTTGTCCAGAGTGGCCTTTAGGCTGTGAGTGCTTGAGGGCAGGGAGCTGCTACCTCTGCCAGCCCAGTGCCAGGCCTGGCACTGCAGGTGCAGCAGAAAAGCACCTTTTCCAATGGTCTTTAATGTTTTTTAAGGTATGTGGTGGTGCATGCCTGTAATTCCAGCTGCTCAGGTGACAGTGATAGGAAGATTTCAGTCCAAATCCATCCCAGCCAAAGCATCAGATACTATCTTTTTTTGTTGTTGTTGTTGGTTGTGGCAGATACTTTTTTGTTGTTGTTGTTGGTTGTGGGGTTTGAACTCTGGGCCTGGGAGCTGCCTCTGAGCTTGTCAGCTCAAGGCAATCACTTTACCACTTAAGCCACAGTGCCACAATCAAATACTAGGTAAAAACAAACCAAAGGCAATAAAAGAGCCAGAGTTTGACTGAGGTGGCAGAACCCTTTCTACCCAGATCTGAGTTCAGTCTCAGAAATGAAAATAAATCCAGATGTAAAGGTGTGACTCAGTAGTTAGAGCACTTGCTTAGCAAGTGGGCGGCCCTGAAGTCACATCTTAGTCCTGACGAAAGAAAAAAGGGCAAAAAAAAAAACCCAAAACAAAAAAACACCCTCAGGACCACCCTATGAGATATTATTACCAATTCTGTTCTTACTTACAGTGGAAAGGATTAAGACTCCTAGAGATTCAGTAGCTTAGGAGTGATTACTGAGAGCTAGGATTTGAACCCACACCTGTTTCTAGACATGGCTCTAAATGCCCTTTCTGATGCTTGTTAAGTAGTTTGAACTTCCATTTTTGTCTCCTCAAAGTGAAAATTGCCACCAAAACATTCCATTGGCTGGGAAGTCTCTAAAGCCTGTAGTATCCGGTTCCAGCTGGAGGCATCACTGAAGCAGCTGCAGTGTCCCCCAGTGGACCTCTTCTACCTCCACCTGCCTGAACCAAGCACCCCTGTGGAGGAGACACTACAGGTCTGCCACCAGCTGCACCAGGAGGTGGGAGAGGGTCTCCAGAGCTCCAGGAGGGAGGGCTCTCCTCTCTTCCCTTCTTCCCTCTACCAGCAAAGAGGGGGAACCAGAGCACCCAGGGCAGAGCTGGGAAGACCTCAGCCCCGGGGTCCCCACTCCCACCTCCCCTGCCTAGAGTCCTGGGTTGTACAGAGTTGTGACCTCACCTCTCCCCTGCAGGGCAAGTTTGCGGAGCTTGGCCTCTCCAACTACGCCTCCTGGGAATGGCCGAGATCTGTACGCTCTGCAAGAGCAATGGCTGGATTATGCCACTGTGTATCAGGTGAGGGGTACCTGGTGTGCCAGGGTGCCCAGGCCATGGACTGTAGGGCTTGGCTGATCTTCTTTCCCCTCAGCCTGCCTCCTGTGCCCTCTACAGGGCAGCGGCTCCTCTGCCCAGAGCCTGTGCCTGGCTCGCAGGTGCCCTCAGAGGACAAAGTTCCTCAGCCTTGGGCTGGGAAGGTGGCTCAGTGGTAAGCGCTCATCTTGCATGCTTAAGGCCCTGAGTTCGATTCCTCAGCACCACATAAGCAGAAAAAAAAAAGCCGCAAGTGGCGCTATGGCTCAAGTGGTAGAGTGCTAGCCTTGAGCTGAAGAGCTGAGGGACAGCGCCCAGGCCCAGAGTTCAGGCCCCATGACCGGACCCCAAAAAAAAAAAAAAAGTTCCTTAGCCTGGCCAGCAGGCAGCTGCCCACTTTCTGCCTGAGTGCACAGCTTGGTTCCTTACTTCCAAGCCTGGCTCTGCACCTCAGCCTGGAACTCTCCTCTGGGGGAAGTGCTCAGGGCTCCCTCAGGTGGCTCTTCTGGGAGCTCCCCCCCCAGCCCCCCTCCCCCCACATCTCCAGACGCCTGAGCTCTCAGGCTCTGTTTCAACCTCTCCTGCCCATTCATTCAGGAATGTGTGTTCAGTGCTGGGAGCCAGGCACTGCTTCCAGGAGTCCCCAGTTCACCGTGATCCTGTCTCTACTCCTTCCCACCTGTTTGCACTCTACCTTACTGTAATGTCCTGAAGGGTGGCCAGGCATGGTGACTCAAGCCTCTAATTCTAGCTCCTTGGGAGGTGCAGATTAGGAGGCTGTTCTAGGAACACGAGTTTGGGAGACTTCATTGCAGCAAATGGCTGGATTGTGTGTTGTGTGCCTACTATCTCAAGGTGCGAGGGGCATGGAGGCATGTGACTCATCCCAGTGATTAAAAGAAGCTCAAATAAGCCGGGCGCTGGTGGCTCACGCCTGTAATCCTAGCTACTCAGGAGGCTGAGATCTGAGGATCGCGGTTCAAAGCCAGCCCAGGCAGGAGAGACCGTGAGACTCCTATCTCCAATAAACCATCAGAAAACCGGAAGTGGCGCTGTAGCTCAAGTGGTAGAGCACTCGCCTTGAGCTGAAGAGCTGAGGGACAGTGCCCAGGCCCAGAGTTCAAGCCCCACGACTGACAAAAAAAAAAAAAAAGCTCAAATAGGAGCATCACGGTCCGGGGTGGCCTGTGAGAGACCCTGTCTCAAACATCAGCAATACACAAAGTGGCTGAGTCATGGTTCAGAGGTAAAGCTTGTCAAGCATGAATGAGGTGCTGAGTTCCAGCCCCAGCCTAGACCTGTCCCCAGAATCAGAGGGCAGGGTGTTATCCTTTTGCCTTAGTGAGTCTGGAATCTATCACCCACTGCATCTGGTGGATGATTACAGGTGCTGGCTGCAGGATGAATTTTTCAGCCCCTGCCTCCTGTTGCTATGTGTGTGTCCTGATTGTCAGGGTGCTAGGATTGTTTAGGTCTGAGCTGAGGGTTTTTCAAGGACTCATTGGGGTCCCTCCTCTTGACTCCTCACCCTCTCCCTCATCACCTGGCAGGTAGAAACGGAGCTCTTCCCCTGCCTCAGACACTTTGGACTGAGGTTCTATGTCTTCAACCCTTTGGCTGGTATGGGCTGCATGGACACAGCACCTGGGGCTGGGGTGAGGGGTGTTTGCATTCCTGGCCTGGTGGATGCCCAGCACAGCCAGGCATGCAAGGAGGAAATGTAAAGCTGAGGAATGCAATGAAGTCCGTGACATGTCCCCAATCCTTTGCCCTGTCCTCCCTCAGCCCAGAATTCTGAGGGATCCCCAATGATCTGGGGGCTTCCACAGGTGGCCTGCTGACAGGCAAATACAGCTATGAGGACAAGGACAGCAAGCAGCCTGAGGGCCGCTTCTTTGGTTACATCCAGGCTGAGATGTACTGGAATCGGTGAGACCTGGGGGAGGAGTCTGCATGGGAAGAAGTGAGGGTCCCCTTACTTGGAGGTACAGAAGGCCTGCTGTGCCAGTGCTGGCTCCTTCTTGGGTGCTGTGACCTGGGTTCCTGGTCTTCCTCGGTTGTTGTCATGAATCTCTGGGGATGCTCCAGGCCCTGAGGTGAGAATTCCTGGTGTCAGTGCTGTCTGTGGCACTGAGTCTCTCTTCTGGGAAGATGCCCTGCTGCACACACTGGATCCATCCTGGATAGACTTAGCAGAGCCTGGGGTTTGGAACTGGCCATGCCACCTGGGGTCTGAGTGTTGTGAGCTCTGGGCAGGAAAATTGCCATTTGTGTCTCTGCTCTTGAGAACATCCTCCCTTCCTTTTCTTTTTTCCTCTTTACCTTTTTTTTTTCTTCCTCTTTACCTTATTGTAAATTTTGTTCTGGTGGTGTGGCTCACTGGTATAGCAGGAGATCATCAGCATTCTTCACCCCCTAAAAAAAGATGGTTAAAGAAATTTCAACATGTCCTTTTAAAAACAATTCCTTTAGTCAGCACCTGTGGCTTGTGCCTATAATCCCTAGCCATTCAGGAGGCTGAGATCTGAGGATCACACTTGGAAGCCAGCTCAGACAGTAAAGGCTGAGACTTTTATCTCTAATTAACCACCAAAATTCTGAACATGGACGTATAAGTGTGGTACAATGAGAGAGTGATAGCACAGAGCAAAAAAGCTGAGCAATGCCCAGCCTGTCCTAGCAAACACACACACACATACACACACACACACACTCACTCACACACACACACTCACTCACACACTCACTCACTCACACACACTCACTCACACACACACACACAAACACACTCACTCACACACTCACACACACACTCACTCACACACTCACACACATACACACTCATATACACACACTCATACATACACACACACACACTCACTCTCACACACACACACAACCCAGTTCATTTTGTATTCCTATTACTTTGTTGGTTTTGTTTTTATGAGATGGTTCTTTTATTCCTTTATTTTTTATTATTTTTATTTTTTTTTTGGGCCTGGTCATGGGGCCTGAACTCTGGGCCTGGGTGCTGTCCCTCAGCTCTTCAGCTCAAGGCTAGCACTCTACCACTTGAGCCACAGCGCCACTTCCGGCTTTTTTCTTTTTGCTTATGTGGTGCTGAGGAATCGAACCCAGGGTCTCAGGCATGCAAGGCAAGCGCTCTACCACTGAGCCACCTTCCCAGCCCTATTTTTTATTTTTTTAACTGTATTTTTTTTTGTCTTTTCTTTTTTGGTACTGGTGATCAAACCCAGGATGTTGCACTTGCTAGGCAAGCGCTTTGCCACTGAGCTACATCCCAGCCCCTTTATTTATTTATTTATTTATTTTTGTGGGTCGTGGGGCTTGAACTCTGGGCCTGGGCGCTGTCCCTCAGCTCTTCAGCTCAAGGCGAGCGCTCTACCACTTGAACTACAGCGCCACTTCCAGTTTTCTGGTGGTTTTTATTGGAGATAGGAGTCTCAATGTCTTTCCTGCCCGGGCTGGCTTTGAACCGCGATCCTCAGATCTCAGCCTCCTGAGTAGCTAGGATTACAGGCGTGAGCCACCAGAGTCCTGTTCTATGTGTGTGTGTTTTTTCTTTTTGGTTATTGTTGTTGTGTTTTTTTTTTGTTGTTGTTGGTCATGGGGCTTGAACTCTGGGCCTGGGCGCTGTCTCTCAGCTCTTCAGTTCAAGGCTAGCGCTCTATCACTTGAGCCACAGCGCCCCTTCTGGTTTTCTAGTGGTTTATTGGAGGTAAGAGTCTCACAGACTTTCTAGCCCAGTCTGGCTTTGAACTGTGACCCTCAGATCTCAGCCTCCTAAGTAGCTAGGATTACAGGTGTGAGACACCAGCGCCTGGCTGTTGTTTTTTCTTTTGCCAGTCCCGGGGCTTGAATTCAGGGCTTGGGCACTGTCCCTGAGCTTCTTTTGCTCAAGGCTAGCACTCTATCCACTTGAGCCACAGTGCTACTTGTGGCTTTTTCTGTTTATGTGGTACTAAGGAATCGACCCCAGGGTTTCATGCATGGTAGGCAAGCACTCTATCACTAAGCCACATTTCCAGCCTAGAGTCTTGTGTAAAGCAGATATTATTGTGTATCCCACATGGGCTCAGACTGATAACCCAGTGTCAGAGGCAACTTCCTGAATTCTTTCAGCTTCTCTTCCCTCTAGCACTGATTGTAGCATCTCTAAAGTATTCAGTTTGTTCCCATTCTTTTCTGTGGACTGTAGAAAGTTGCTGTTGCTAAATTTGCACAAGTCTGCTGAGTTCATTTCTGGCCCAGTGTGACCTTGCTGGTGGGAGGGAAGGGCCTCTCAAGCCAGGCTTCCTGCAGGAAGCTAGTTCTATTGAAATGTCCACGGTCTTAAGTGGAGGCGCATCAGATATCAGCAGTGAGCTTTGTGTATTTTCGTGACTGAAGCTTTCTGGTGGGGTGTGCCTCTGTGGAGATCAGTTCTTGCTCCTTCCACTGTCTCCACCCAAGATGAAAACCAACACCTGGTGAGGTGCCTAGGAATCTGGTCAGAATGCCAACCCCCAGGTTGAGAGAGACCCAGGTCTCTCAGGGCTCCAGAGACTGGGCTGTCCTCTGGGGTTCTGAACCCTGCGTCCTCTGTATCCTGCTCAGCTACTGGAAGGAGGAGCACTTCAAGGCCATCGCCCTGGTGGAGAAGGCTCTGCAGGCCGCCTATGGCCCCAGTGCCCCCAGCATGACCTCGGCTGCCCTGAGGTGGCTGTACCAGCACTCCTGGCTGCAGGTAGCCCCGCTGTCCTGGGTGCTGGGGTGGGGAGGGAGTGGAGAATGGGGCCTTGAAGACTCCCCAGCTATTCTCTTCTATCCTGGGAGGGCTCTTTATTTTCCTCTGATGTGTCCAGGTGGCCAAGTTACAGACTTCCTATTATTATCACTTCAGCTTTAATATGAGGTACTTGTCTTGGGGAGCCTTATTCTGCCAATTTATGCACAGCTATTCCTAGAGTAGAATATTTATTTATTTTTGGGTCTGGTCGTGGGGCCTGAACTCTGGGCCTGGGCTCTGTCCCTCAGCTCTTCAACTCAAAGCTAGCGCTCTACCACTTGAGCCACAGCGCCACTTCTGGCTTTTTTCTTTTTGCTTATGTGGTGCTGAGGAATTGAACCCAGGGCCTCATGCATGCAAGGCAGGCGCTCTACCATTGAGCCACCTTCCCAGCCCCCCTAGAGTGGAATAAACATGGATTTGATTCTGAACTTGAATTATTTTTTAATTTTAATTTTTTGTTGGCTAGGAGGCCTGAACTCTGGGCCTGGGCGCTGTCCCTCTCAGCTCTTCAGCTCAAGGCTACCGCTTTACCACTTGAGCCACAGCACCACCACTTCTGGCTTTATCTGTTTACATGGTACTGAGGAATTGAACCCAGGGCTTCATGCATGCGAGGCAAGCACTCTACCACTAAGCCACCTTCCCAGCCCTGAACTTGAACTTTTAAAAACCCTTAGCATAAAGTTGCATCCTTTCCTTGTGTGGCTGGGGCTCCCCATCTCCTTTTTGTCCGTTTACTGTCCTTCATCCCTCTACCTAGCATAGTTATGGTATGGCTACAGCCATATTTGGAGGCAACATGAATTCTTGATTTTTTGTTCATTGTTGGCACTCTATTTGAGCCACAGCTCATTTTTTGGGGGGCCAGTCCTGGGGCTTGAATTTAGGACGTGGGCACTGCCCCTGTGCTTCTTTTGCTCAGGGCTAGCACTACCAATTGAGCCACAGTGCCACTTCCGACTTCTTGTCTGTTTTACTGAGGAATCAAACCCAGGGCTTCATGTATGTTAGTCCTTATTTTTTTTTTGAGTCTGGTTGTGGAGCCTGAACTCTGGGCCTGGGCCCTGTCCCTCAGCTCTTCAGCTCAAGGCTAGCACTCTACCACTTGAGCCACAGGACCACTTCTGGCTTTTTTTTTTTTGCTTATGTGGTGCTGAGGAATTGAACCCAGGGCCTCAGGCATGCAAGGCAAGTGCTCTACCACTGAGCCACCTTCCCAGCCCCTCCTTGTATTTTTAAAAATATTTTATTATTTATTTTTTGTCGGTCGTGGGTCTTGAACTCAGGGCTTGGGCACTGTCCTGTGCTCTTCAGCTCAAGGTAAGAACTCTACGGCTTGAGCAACAGAACCACTTCCCCCTCCTTGTTTTTTTTATGTGTGTGTATGCTGGTACTGGGGCTTACGCTTACAATCTTACTTGGCTAGTCAATTCCTGCTAGAATGATATAGGCATAAGGAAAAATATTGGCAATGCTGGCAGGGAGGGGCAAGTGACTTGAGCTGCAGGTAAAAGATGTTAGAAATATGGTATCCCTACAGGCCACCCATGAGGACGCAGTCATTCTGGGCATGTCCAGCCTAGACCAACTGGAGCAGAACTTGGCTGTCACTGAGCAAGGGCCCTTGGAGCCGGGAGTCATGGAAGCCTTTGATTAAGCCTGGAACCTGGTTACCCACCAGTGTCCCAACTACTTCCGTTAGGTTCCACCTGACTGGACTGTAGCTAGCTATCCCTTACCTCCCTTAAGGTCAGTTGCCACCTTGAGCTGATCCAACTTGCTCTATCCCTGCTGGTTTTTTTTTTTCCTTCTATTTCTCTCCAGTGTACCCAGTGGGAGGGCAGCAGGCTAAGCTCTGCCTAGTGAAGAAAGCTGGCAGCTGAGCTGGCTGAAGTTTGGTGACCTCTCCTGTGCTGGAGGTTTGAGGGGCTACTGTGGTGACAGAGGCAGAGGCAGTCGGATCTCTTTAGACCCAGAACCCCTAACCCAGCCTGGCTTGTCCCCTTTGTGGGGCTGGCTATGCATGACAGAGAGCCATGTAAGGTGTTAGAGCTGTCTCAAAGGCTGTTTTGGAGCTGTAATATACTGAATGTTTTACCTGCCCTTCTGTGACCCACTGCAAATGGAGGTGCCACTAATGCCTCCCTAGCACACAAACAACTCAGCACTCAGGGAAATCGTTGTTTTTATTATAGAAGGTATTTATCACAAAGGACATGGAGAAGAGATTCATGGAGCCAGTGGTGTGAGAGGGGTACCAAGTTCCATGGCTTTTCTGCACCTATCAGAACTGTCTGAACCTGGAAATGTGTTTGAGACAGGTCACATTCCTTTTAGGGGATGCTGGCACAGTGCCTAGGGCTCACCCATGTTGGGCAAGCACTCTACTACTGAGTTGTTACACTGCCAGACTCAGAGAAAGTCATTTTCTTGAGGTGCTTGGAATGGAACCAGTAGGCAAATGCTGTACCACTGAACTATATCCCCAGTACTTATGGGAGCCAACTTAAAAATGTACTTGACTTCTGTACCTCTTCTACCTTTTTTTTTTTTTTTCCTTTGGTTCTGGTTCTGGGATTTGAACTTAGGGGATAGGCCTATTCCTGAGATTTTTTTAAACTCAAGGTTGGTGATCTACCACTTGAGCCACAGCTCTGCTTCCAGCTTTTCTGTGGTTAGTTGGATGCAAGTCTCGCAGACTTTCTTGCCCAGGTTGGCTTTGAACTGTGCTCCTCAGATCTCAGCCTCCCGGGTTGCTAGGATTACAGGTATGAGCCACAGGCACCTGGCCTTTCTTGAGTTTCTAAAGGCCCCTGACTGCTTGGTATCCACCAGTCAGCTCTGAGTTTGGACTGTGTGCAGACATGTGAAAGGACTGCCAAGGCACCTAACTTTTCTCAGGAATTCTGTGTAAGAAGCAAAGGGCACGGAGGGAGGGCCCTCTCCTGGAGAGGAGGGAGCCCAGCTGTGGGGGTTGCTCTAGGCCATCCAGAGCCGTAATGCTTCTACAGTAATCCCACAGGGCTTAGGACTATGCTCGCTTACTAGGTACACAGGAAATCCTAGTGTCCAAGCGGAGCACAAAGCCAAAGGCCTTATCTTAGAAAAGCCTCTTGCTGTCTACAGGAGACACCTGCAGACTCAATTTTATTCTCTGGAAACACAGTCGGGTCACCTGTCTTCATCTATAGCAAAATAAATAGGGCCTTCCTCCAGAGGGGCGGTGGCAGTCAGTCCTACTGGGTCCTGTGTGGCACAGACGGAGCTGAAAGGCCTTAGTCGTCCTCGTCCTCATCCTCTTCCTCCTCCTCAGACTCAGGTGCGCTCTCAGGAAGGTCATCTTCCATCGGCTGGAATCGTCCCGACTGTGCATCCCACATGTATTTGACGGTCACCTTGAACTCAGCCATCTCATACCCAAAGAGTTTCTTTAAGCGCAGAAGGAGAAGGGGTGAGGGTGATCAGAAGCACAGGGGAGAGAAAGGCAGTGGTCCCACCTGCCACAGCCCACACTTACCAGAACCCGGGCCTGCTCCGGGGTCAGCACATCGCCTTCCTTGCACACCTCATAGTCAGACAGCAAGGTCACCACACCTGAGGAGAGGGGCCCCACATCTCTCAGGCACAGGCCCACATGACATGTGCTGCCAGTGTGGAGTTGGGAAGCCTGTGGCGGCTCGCTTGCCACCCTGCAGGTTGATACACAGAAGGGCAGCTGCTGCCTCAATGTCCTTTAAGTGCTGTCCTCTGGCCAGAACCTACTGTCTACTTTTATACCAACTGGGAGGTGAGTACTTGGCCTATTTTCTCACAGGAAGGGAGGCGATAAAAGTTACTTGTTCAGCCAGGAAAGGCAGAGCCTGCAAGCTGGTGCTTCTGGCTGTGGACTATGACCTTCCAGCTCAGTACCACTTCCGGTTTTCTGGTGGTTAACTGGAGATGGAGTCTCACTGACTTTCCTGCCTGGGCTGGCTTTGAACCGTGAGCCTCAGCTTTCAGCCTCCTGAGTAGCTAGGATTACAGGTGTGAGCCACCAGTGCCCAGCAGCTGTACCTTTCTTGAGGGCAGTGGGCAGGCCCAGTTGCCTCAGTTGTGGCTCCATGGAGTGGGGGAACTGCTCCAGAGGGCCTTGGTCCAGGTTCACAGTGAAAGCTGCTTTGTTACCAGCTCGGGCAAAGTCCATTTGTGTGTATTTTGTGAACCACCTTAAGGAGAAAAAAGTAGGAAGGCAAGTTGTTGACGGCTGAAGTCCACTCAGCCTGGACCTGGGCCTCCCCTCTCTGCACGCCCAGTTTGGCTGCAGGCTAGGCACTGTGCTGGACAAGATACAATCCTCTCTGGTCACAACCAAGTACCAGTGAGACTTCCTGTGGTGCCACCTGCACAGCCCCTGCACTGCTCATGGACACTTACTCATTCACTTCATCCTTTGTGCGATTGGTGAAAAGAAGACCAACTTCACCCTTCAACTTCTTGCTGACCTGCAATTCCGAAGTGAACAATTTATCTCCGATAACATTCAAGGCCATTTCTGCTTGGTAGAGCAGGAAGGGGGAGGAGAGACACAGGGACACACAGGATACCACTCCTTGGGCCTGGGATGTGACATGGGGACCAGCGGGAAGGCAGCACAGATCCTCTAGACCCTTACCTGGTGCAGGTTGTCTCTGTACTCATCAGATGGGCTTCGCCCCAAGGCTACCATCATCACCTTGTTTTTGCCAAAGAACATCCTATCAAGTACAAAGGGATTTGAAGGAAGTGCCCTTCCTTTCCCCTTCCTCAGTTAAATGACAGGCAGTTCCATTTCTCAGCAGCCTGGGGACAGGCCCAAAGCACCTCACCTAGAAATGCCACCTACATACAGCACCCCCAGCTCAGGGTCCCTGCTATTATTTCCCTACAGGACATGGCAAGTTTGTCACCCGCGCACTGGGAACACCATGTGACAATCTCTCCCTCTAGATGCAGCACCTTTAATAGGATGTTTCAGAGCTGGTGTAGTAGGAGACCAACCACAGAGGCATCGAGCCAAGTACTGCAAGTGGCCACAGGGTCCTCGCAGCCTGCTCCTGGGTCACTGTCTATAATGGGGGCACATACTGACATTCTAAAACTAGAATGATGCCAGACTCCATGGCTGAGCAATCTTTTCTGAGCTCAGGGCTTGGAACTTGAAGGAACCAATTTCCCAATTATCTCCAAAGAAACTACTGAGCCTTGCTCCCGAGGGGCTTGTTAGAAGGCTGGCTTTCAGCTTTGAAATGTGCCCTTGAGTGTGGGTGCAGTGTCACTGAGGGCCACTTATGTGATACCCTGTGTTGTTCCTGAGCTCCTACAGCAGCCTGGCCCTTCCTCCCCATGCCTGCTTACCGGCTGTGCTTCCAGGCATTCCGGATGTCCTTCAGCTTGCTGTTTCTCATGTTGGCCACGGAGAAGATGAAGAGGTATTTGTATGTGTCCACACATTTCCGAAGCTGTGGGACAAGTCATGAAGCTCAGGAGTTCAAGGGGCAGCTGGCACGGGCAACTCTGCCTCATGACAGAATGTGTTCTAGGCTTTAACCTGTTTAAATCTCCGTACTGCCATTTCTGACACCAGGACCACACATCACAAGGGAAATCAAGCCTCTGGGATATGACTTATGGGTGACCAATCACTTTTGTGTGCTTTGTCTAGTTATTGAACAGCAAAGGAGGCTAACCTGCAGTGGTGCCAGCCAAAGCTACCATAGAGGTATAGAATCTGTGTGCCTCTGTACTCCCTTATCTTACAACCCAGGATAGGGAGGTCAGAAGTTACTCCTAGCCTTTGCTGACTCAGGGTAGAGTAAGATACCTTGCTAAATTTCAGTGTTTCTAACTGCAAAATAGCATAACATAATGTGTACCTCTCAGGGATGTTGGGGAAGGTATGGAAACACTTGGAGAAATATAGGGCACAGGATAAATCACAGCCTGAAACCAGGATGGGCCTTACTGGTGGGAACTCTGTTGGATAATGACAAAAGGGTTGGATTGACAGCTGGTTTGCTTTCTTGTAAATGGTATTATCCTCCAACAAACAGCCCTATGTGCACACCTATAAACGACATACAAACTAGGAAATTAATGCAATTAGTTCTTACCTCTTCTATCAGGTTCTGTTTCAGTTCTAAGCCTTTCTTTGTAGTTTTGGTTAAGGAAACTGATAACAAAAAAATGGAAAAAGATGGTGAGTGATCAATCTGGATGTCATGGAAACTTCTTTTCCTTCCCCTTTGGGGCTCAGCTGGACCAAGGCAGCCTGAGGGAAGGCAGCAAGGGCCTGGCTGCTATCATTCTGGCATACAAGGCATTTCCAGGGTGTGTGGAGGGCCTATGCACTATTATGTTCTGGGCCTGCATGCACAAATGTGTCACACAAACTAAACATTCCTGAGTCCTCAGTGAGACAGATAGCTGCAGTGTGGGGTGGGGTGCGTTCCTTTTGGTACAGTGCTCTCAGTGGCAGCCCTAACTTGCTGGCTGAGGCTGGTCCCTCTCAGCTCTTGGCCATGATGCATAGAAGCCATTAATACCTAAGTTGTAGAAGTAATGAGCCTGGGGATCAGCAGCTGGGATCATATCTCTTGTAATACATGTCTGCACAGAAGGCATTTTTTCCCCTAAATTACTTTATTGTTGTTTTAAAGGTGATATACAGCAGGGTTACCTTTACATAGGTAAAAAGTA